GTGAGCGCTTTAACGGTACCTTGAAGCAGATGCTCAGGACATTTGGGGAGTCCCATAAAGACTGGGAGAGGTTTTTACCCCATCTGCTTTTTGCGTACCGAGAAGTGCCACAGGAATCTACCGGCTTCTCTCCGTTTGAGTTATTGTTTGGGAGAAGGGTGAGGGGACCCCTAGACTTAATTAGAGAACATTGGGAGGGGGGGAGCAGTGCAGATGGAGTCCCCATTGTGCCATACGTGCTGGAGTTCCGGGACCGCTTGGAGGCTCTAACCCAAACCGTACGGGAGAACCTCCGGGCGGCTCAGCGGCGACAGCGCCGGTGGTACGATAGGGGAGCCAGAGACCGTAGCTTTCAGGTGGGACAGAAAGTTCTAATTTTGAAACCTGTCCGCACAGACAAGCTACAGGCCACCTGGCAGGGCCCATACCAAGTGGTAGAACAGAGATGTGACACCACTTATGTGATCGGCCCGTGCTCTGGGGTAGGGAAACGACGCATGCTCCATGTGAACATGCTCAAACCCTATCACCAGAGAATAGAGGAGGTAGCAGCCATCTGTGCCCCAGCCACTGAGGATTATGAGAATCTGCCCTTGCCAGACATGTTAGAAAAGGAAGATTCTGCAGAAAACGCTACAGGTGTGCAGCTGGGGGAGCGGCTAAGTCTCCAGGAGCGTGCCCAGGTACAGGAGTTGATTGCGGCAAAAGGTGCTACCTTCTCCAATTTACCAGGGTACACTCTGTTAGCTACCCACCGAGTAGAGACCCCAGGACTCCCTATGAGACAGACTCCGTATCGTATCCCTGAAGCAGTAAGGGAGCACATGAGGAAAGAAATTGAGGAAATGTTGCAGTTAGGGGTTATCGAACATTCAGATAGCCCCTGGGCATCACCGGTAGTGCTAGTACCCAAGAAGGATGGCACCACGCGGTTTTGTGTAGACTACCGGAGGCTCAATGACAAAACAGTGTCTGACGCCTACCCGATGCCCCGTATAGACGAGCTGCTAGATAGGATGGCAAGAGGCCAGTATCTCACTACCATTGATCTGTGTAAGGGATACTGGCAGATTCCACTAGCCGAGGAGGCCATCCCCAAGTCGGCGTTTGTCACCCCGTTTGGCCTGTATCAATTTCGGGTCATGCCTTTCGGGATGAAAAACGCTCCGGCTACCTTTCAGAGGATGGTAGATCGGCTACTGGACGGGTTCCAAGAGTACGCCTGTGCGTACTTAGATGATATAGCCATTTATAGCCAGACCTGGGCAGATCATTTGAAACATATTAGTGTGGTCATTGACCGTATTGGAGAGGCAGGGCTGACACTAAAACCTAGCAAGTGTCACATAGGGATGGCAGAGGTGCAGTACCTGGGTCACAGGGTAGGATGCGGACAGCAGAGGCCCGAACCGGCCAAGATAGAGGCAGTAGCTAAGTGGCCTACCCCCAGGACAAAGACACAAGTATTGGCGTTCCTTGGTACCGCTGGTTACTACAGAAAATTTGTGCCCAATTACAGCGCCCTGGCCAAACCCCTGACGGACTTGACCAAGAAAAACTTGCCACGACAGGTCAACTGGGCCCCAGAGTGTGAACAGGCATTCCATGAACTAAAAACTGCATTAACTAAGGCTCCTGTGTTAACTGCCCCTGATCCAACTAAACGATTTCTTGTTCACACAGACGCTTCCATGTTTGGATTGGGGGCAGTACTGAGCCAAGTGGGAGCTGATGGCGGAGAACATCCCGTAGCTTACTTAAGCAGAAAATTACTACCAAGGGAAGTAGGCTACGCCGCCATCGAGAAGGAATGCCTGGCCGTGGTGTGGGCCCTCAAAAAGTTACAACCTTATTTGTATGGACAACCATTCTCCTTGCTCACAGATCACAACCCGTTGGTGTGGCTACACAGGGTGTCAGGAGACAATGCCCGGCTGTTGCGCTGGAGTTTGGCGCTGCAGCCGTTTGATTTCACGATCCATTATCGCCCTGGAAAACAGAATGGTAACGCCGATGGGTTGTCCAGACAGACAGAACTTGAGAAATGATCTGTGAGCACTCCCCCGGACATCCCCAAGCCGATCCGTGGGATCAGACTGTGTATGCCGGCTTGGTTTTGGGGGAGCATTGTGGCAAACCTAGCCACTTGGGACTGCCTAAGATAGAATGGTTGTGCCTATTTTCTGTTGTGTACTGCGCGCCGGTATAGTGTGGCGTCTCCGGCTATGTTTAATTTATGCTGTACTGTGTATGTCTGTTCGAATCCTCCCCATTCGTTAGCATTGCTATTAAAACTGACTAAGTTGTATATTTTGAAGTAGAAAGGTAACGGTTTATGTCCTCGTGGTTTTCATTACTGTATGTTACAGCAGGGGCTGTTGGGAGGAGGACCTGGAAACGGTAGTCTCCCTCCAGTCCCCTCAACCAAAACCCCTGCTGCCCATCTTTGGAAACCCCTGTTGAGTGACCTGCTTTAAATATCAGTTATTTTTGAATAAAGTGGCAGTTGACTCTCAGACTGTGTTTCGTCTGGTTCTTGGGAGGATTTGGGAATATTGCCTGCTTCCAGCTTTGTACTTGGTTATTGCATTCTACCAGCAGAGATCCTGGGATTATAAAATTGCAGCTCCGCAACACAGCCCAATATTATAAAGAAATAGTGAATGTAATATTGGACACTAGTAATCAGAAGAAGAGTTTTCAGCTGCCATGGGCACAGCCTAGTGGCATACTTAATAAAACGTAACGAATAATAGACATCTGTTAAGAAACTACTATCTTGGATACAACTGGTATTATCAAGTTACCCATAATAAATTCTAGCTACTAATTTTGCAGTTATAAAAGATTACAGGATTCCCACAGAAGAATACATAATTATATGATTTTGCTAAAACATGATGTAAAGTCATGATTTAATTAAAGATGTAAGGTTCTATTGTGCATTTCTCTCTCTTTTTTTTTTTATAGTTTTAGTTACATAGCTGAAAAGAGACTTGCGTCCATCCAGTTCAGCCTTCCTCACATATGTTTTTGCTGTTGATCCAAAAGAAGGCAAAAAAGCAGTCAGATGTCTCCTCGGATCAAATAGCTATTACCCCACTAATTAGAAATTATATCCCTGTATGCTTTTGCAAGTATTTTTCCAATTTCAGTTTAAACATCTGTATGGGCTCTGATAAAACCACCTCTTCAGGCAGAGAATTCCATATACTTATTTTCTTTGCCTTAGATGAAATCTCCTTTCTTCCAGCCTAAATGTGAGCTTTGTGTCCTATGTATAGCCCTGTTTATGAATAGATTTCCAGATAATGGTTTGTACTGACCCCGAATATATTTGTATACAGTTATCATATCCCCTCTGTGGAGTCGTTTTTCCAAACTAAAGAGATTTACATTTTTTAAATGCTCCATTCCTTTTATCAGTTTTTGTAGCTCGTCTCTGCACTTTCTCTAGTGCCATGATATCCTTCTTTAGAACAGGTGCCTAAAATTGCACAGCATATTCAAGGTGTGGTCTTACAAAGAGATTTATAAAGAGGCAAAATTCTATTTTCATCCCTAGAATTTATGTCCCTATTTATACATGACAAAACCTTACTGGCCTTAGCAACTGCAGATTGACATTGCATACTGGTGCCTAATTTGTTGTCTATAACAATTCCCAAAACCTTCTCGTGTGTGGTTATCCCTAATTCACTACCATTTAGTGTGTAAGTTGCTTGTGCATTCTTAACCCCGAAGTGCATAACTTTGCATTTCTCTACAATACATTTCATCTGCCATTTTAGTGTCTAGTTCCCCAATCTATGCAAATCCCTCTGCAGCAAAGCAATATCCTGCTCACACTTTATTACTTTCCAAAGTTTTCTGTCATCTGCAAACACTGCTTTAAATGCCTATTTCAAGATCATTTATAAATATGTTAAATAGAAGCGGTCCCAAAACATAACCCTGAAGGACACCACTTACCACTTTTGTCCAGCCTGAAAATTTACCATTAATGACAACTTGTTGTACTCTATCCTTAAAGGACCACTATAGGCACCCAGACCACTTCAGCTTAATGAAGTGGTCTGGGTGCCAGGTCCAACTAGGTTCAACCCTTTTTACTATAAACATAGCAGTTTATAAATGGGTTAATCCAGCCTCTAGTGGCTGTCTCATTGATTTTCACAGTGAGAAGACGCCAGTGTCCATAGGAAAGCATTGTGAATGCTTTCCTATGGACTAGATGAATGTGTGCACGGCTCCTGCTGCGCATGCACATTCATCCGAAGAGGAGGAGAGGAGGCGGAGAGGAGGAGGAAAGCTCCCCGCCCGGTGCTGGAGAAAGAGGTAAGTTTATCCCCTTTTTCTCCATCCAGCCCGGTGGGAGGGGGCACCCTCAGGGCACTATAGTGCCAGGAAAACGAGTATGTTTTCCTGGCACTATAGTGGTCCTTTAAGCCAATGTTCTACCCAAGAACAAGAATATTCATCTAGACCAATTTCTTTTAGTTTGAAGACTAACCTATTGTGAGGAACTGTATCAAATGCCTTGTCAAAATCCAAGTAGATCACATCCACTGCAACACCCTGGTCTATACTTCTACTTACTTCTTTGAAGAATGCAATTAGGTTAGTTTGACATGACCCATGTTTCATAAAACCATGTTGATTATTGCTAATAACAAAGTTCTTCCCAATGAATTCCTGAATATTATCCCTTAATAGATCTTCAAATATTTTCACAGTCACAGAAATTAAGCTCACAGGTCTATAATTTCAGGGCAAGAATTTTGAACCCTTTTAAAATATATGATCAACATCTGCCTTCCTCCGGTACAATACCTGAAACTTTACTTAAATATAACAAATGAACGGTGTGGCAAAACCGACCTCGCCACTGGGCATTGGAGAAGACTGATTGCCAGCCTCCTGCCCAGGGCCGGACTGGCCCACCGGGATACCAGGAAATTTCCCGGTGGGCCGTCGGCACCTGGGGCCGGGCAGGCAGCTGGCTCACCTGCGGCCGCAGAGAGAGCTCTTTTGGCGGCCGCAAGGGGAGCTGGCTGTTCTGTATCTGCTCCCCCTTCCCAGCGTGCCGCTTAATGAGACCGGGGCCGGAATATCATATCATCAGCAGAGACAGAACAGCCAGCTCGCCCGGCGGCCGCCAAAAGAGCTCTCTCTGCGGCCGCAAGTAAAGGGAGCTCCCCCATGCGGCCGCCATCAGAGCCTCCAGCACACTGGTAGCAATTATGTGTGTGTGTCTGTCTGTGTCATGGTGTGTGCGTCTGTGTCATGGTGTGTGTGCGTCTGTGTCATGGTGTGTGTGCGTCTCTGTCATGGTGTGTGTGCGTCTCTGTCATGGTGTGTGTGCGTCTCTGTCATGGTGTGTGTGCGTCTCTGTCATGGTGTGTGTGCGTCTGTCATGGTGTGTGTGCGTCTGTCATGGTGTGTGTGCATCTCTGTCATGGTGTGTACGTCTCTGTCATGGTGTGTGTGTGTGTCCCTGTGTCATGGTGTGTGTCTGTCCCTGTGTCATGGTGTGTGTCTGTCCCTGTGTCATGGTGTGTGTCTGTCCCTGTGTCATGGTGTGTGTCTGTCCCTGTCATGCAATGTGTGTGTGTCATGGTGTGTGTGTGTGTGTGTGTATGTGTCATGTAATGTGTGTGTGTCTGTCACGGTATGTGTGAGTCTGTGTCACGGTCTCTCTGTGTTGTGGTGTGTGTGTCATGGTGTGTGTGTGTCATGGTGTGTCTTTCTGTGTCTGTGTGTGTGTCTGTCATTGTGTGTGTGTGTCATGTCATTGTGTGTGTGTGTCTGTCATGCAATATGAGTCTGTGTCACGGTCTGTGTTTGTCATGGTGTGTATGTGTGTCTGTCTGTGTCATGTAATGTGTGTGTGTCTGTCACGGTGTGTGTGTGTGTGTCTGTGTCACGGTCTCTCTGTGTCGTGGTGTGTGTGTGTCGTGGTGTGTGTGTGTCATGGTGTGTGTGTCTGTCTGTGTCATGTAATGTGTGTCTGTGTCACTGTCTGTCTGTGTTATGGTGTCTGTGTGTCATGGTGTGTGTGTTTCTGTCTGTGTCACGGTCTGTCTGTGTCATGGTGTGTGTCTGTCATGGTATGTGTGTGTGTATGTGTGTATGTGTGTTTATACTCACCTTCCCACCCTCTCCCCACCCCCCCCACGTCGTGCTGGTCTCCCCTCAACTGGCCATGCCTCTACGGCTGAGATCATCAAGCTTGATGATCTCAGCCAATCCGCACTGACACAGGAAGCACCTCTAGTGACCATCTGAGTGTGTCACTAGGAAGCAATGTAAATACTGCCTTTTCTCTAAAAAGTCAGTGTTTACATTGAAAAACCTGCAGGGACAGGCTATAGACACCAGAGCCACTACATTAAGCTGTGTGTGTGTGCGCTCCTGCTAGTGAGTGGGCTTGCTTGTGTGTGTGTGCCTGCTACTGAGTGAGCTTGTGTTTTTATGTCAATGACCTTATGTATATCAGTGAGATTGTTTGTGTATGAGGCTGTGTATCAATCAGCTTGTGTCAGTGAGATTGTATGTGTCTGCATGTGAGTATGCTTACTGTATAATTAAATTTTACTCTGAAAGGACCAATATTGTATATTGGAAAAAGCTAAATATCTATCTATATCTATCTATCTATCTATCTATCTATCTATCTATATCTATCTATCTATCTATATCTATCTATCTATATCTATCTATCTATCTATATCTATCTATATCTATCTATCTATCTATCTATCTCTATCTATCTATCTATCTATCTCTATCTATCTCTATATCTATCTCTATATCTATCTCTATCTATCTCTATCTCTATATCTATATCTATATCTATATCTATATCTATATCTATCTATCTCTATCTCTATATCTATCTATCTCTATATCTATCTCTATCTATCTCTATCTATCTATCTATCTATCTCTATCTATATATCTATCTCTATCTATATATCTATCTCTATATCTATCTCTATCTATCTCTATCTATCTATCTCTATCTATCTATCTATCTCTATCTATCTATCTATCTCTATCTATCTATCTATCTCTATCTCTATCTCTATATCTATCTCTATCTATCTCTATCTATCTCTATCTATCTCTATCTATCTCTATCTATCTCTATCTATCTCTATCTATATCTATCATCTATCTCTATCTATCTCTATCTATCTCTATCTATCTCTATCTATCTCTATCTATCTATCTCTATCTATCTCTATCTATCTCTATCTATCTCTATCTATCTATCTATCTCTATCTATCTCTATCTATCTCTATCTATCTCTATCTATCTCTATCTATCTCTATCTATCTCTCTATCTATCTATCTATCTATATCTATCTATATCTATCTATCTATCTATCTATCTATCTATCTATCTATCTATCTATATATATATATATATATATATATATCTCTATATCAATCATCTAGGGTGGCAAGACATAGCCTTACATATTGCATGCGACAATATATGGCGCAATGACTTATGGAGCTGGCATAGATTTTTTTTTCCAGGGCTGCTTTGGAATCCCCAGTCCTGCCCTGCTCCTGCCATGTGACTATGGCCCCTGGGATGTATTGCCCTTTAAAGACATGATTTGGGCATAATGGATTTGTGTTGTGCTGCTGCTGGCCCTTTAGGAACCATCTGGGGACATACTGTGGAGTTACTGGGTGGCCACCATTTCATGTATCAGAGGCACATGGTGAGAACAATGGATGGTGGCCATTTTAACTCACAGACACTGTTTGGACTTTTTAACATGGTGTCATCTCATCTGTATTTGGTGCACAGAGACATTGTGCAGTGGTTTTGGACTATACAACAGGGGACACATTATAAAGTAATTGTTTTTCATATAGCCTGCATATGTTCTGTGGAATCTGCATTAAACTGTGTCTTCCAAAGTACTGAACGGAGCTGGGTGAATTTTGGATATGTGGTTCACCCAGATCCCCCGGTTCCGAGGATATTTTTATGAGGTTATTGTGTGTTTTGGGGTCCCTGTGATGTGTTTTATGATACTGTATTTTTCTTGCTTGTGATAATTAGGTTAACCCATTGTGTGCCATAATTAGATCACAAGCAGAGGGGAGGATTTTGTGTATAATTGCTGGGAGTGTTTTCTGTAATGTACGTGTGTTATTGGTTGTTCTGTAAAACCCTGTGGGCAGTACTAAGTTTGTGGATTGGGAATAAAAGAGGCTGTATGTGCCAGTACAGTCAGTTCTGCTTGACCTCAAAACGAAGTGTCGTTTCGTTATGGGGGGAATTGGATTGTATGCTGATTGCCAGGAGTGTAAACTGATTGTATGCTTTTCCTGTCCAGCTGCTTACAACATTCGTAAAAATCAGTTTGAAGCACAATTTTGCATCAAGCTAGGAAAAAAATTCCTTCTTGACCCCAGAATGGCAGTCAGATTTATCCTTGGATCAAGCAGTAATTACCCTACATTGAAAGATTATATCCTTGAATATTCTGTTCTTGCAAGTATGCATCTAGTAGCCGTTTGAACATCTGTATGGACTCTGATAAAACCACTTCTTCAGGCAGAGAATTCCACATCCTGATTGTTCTTACAGTAAAAAAACCTTTCCTTTGCCTTAGACGAAATCTTCTTTCTTCCAGTCTAAACGCATGGCCTCGGGTCCTATGTAAAGTCCGGTTTGTGAATAGATTTCCACACAATGGTTTTTGTATAATGTTATCATATCCCCTCTCAGGCGACGTTTTTCTAAACTAAATAGGTTTAAATTTGTTAGCCTTTCTTCATAGCCGATATGTTCCATTCCTTTTATTAATTTTCAAGCCCGCCTCTGCACTTTTTCTAGTGCCATAATATCCTTCTTGAGAACAGGTGCCCAAAATTGCACAGCATATTCAATATGGGGTCTTACCAGTGATTTATAAAGAGGCAAAATGATATTCTTGTCCCGAGAATGAATGCCCTTTTTCATGCATGACAATACCTTACTGGCCTTGGCCACTGCTGATTGACATTGCACATTGTTGCATAGTTTGTTGTCTATAACAATTCCCAAGTCCTTTTTGTGTGTTGTTATCCCTAATTCGCTTCAATTAAGGGTATACGTTGCATGTGTATTCTTTACGCCAAAGTGCATAATTTTGCATTTTTCAACATTAAATTTCATCTGCCATTTGAGTGCCCAGTCCCCCAGTCTGTGAAGTGAGCAAAGACATGACCCACCTGGTAACAATGGAGTGGGAGCTGGAGCAGGACTACCAACACCTGCTCAGCTTCGTGCAGCCCCAACCTACCCAACAAGCAGAACTAGACCTCATTGACTGGTCCTGGGATGACCTCCAGATGGCAGGTAGAGATGGGACTGAGGTCTCTCTACCGGCCCTACAGGGATACTGGGCAGCCAACCCAGATCTCCAGCGACAGTGAGAGTCCTAGAGAGCCAAAGGTGCCTTCCTTCCTCCCCAGCGGCAGTGAGAGTTCCAGGGAGCCGAAGGTGCCGTCAGTCCTCCCCAGCGGCAGTGTGAGTTACAGGGAGCCGAAGGTGTCGTCCACCCTCCCCAGCGGAAGCGTGAGTCACAGGGAGCTGAAGGTGCCGTCCTTCCTCCCCAGTGGCTGTGTGTCCTGCAGGGAGCAGAGACAGTCGGTCTCGCTTCCCAGCACCGGGACAATATATTGAAAGGGGAGACAGTCAGTCCCCCTCTCCACCAGCAGAGAGAGTGTCAGGGAGAGGAGCTTGTTACACCCTCTCCCCAGCGGCAGCGTAGCCCACCAAGGGGAGACACTAAGCCCCCCACCAGTGCAGATGGGACTGTGGTCTCTGTGCCCAAGCTACAGGGAGTACGGACAGTCGGTCCTGGTCCCCAGCGGCAGAGAATTCTACCAGGAGGGGACAGTCTCGTTCCCCCTCCCCAGTGGCAGCCTAGCCCACCAAGGGGAGATAAGCCCCACACCGGTGCAGATGGGACCGTGGTCTCTGTGCCCAAACCACAGGGAGTAGGGACGTCGGTCCTGTCCCCCAGCAGCAGGGCTGTATATCCAAAGGGGAGACAGCCTGTCTGCCCCTCCAGCAGCAACACCAGGTCCAGCGGGAGAAGCCTACTAACCATTCTCCTCAGCTGGGCTCCAACCAGGCTACTCCCTTGGTACCGCTGGTCTCTGCCCACTCAGCAACCCACCGATCCGGAAGGCTAGTACCCCCCAGAGCAGTGGT